TGACAAAGGTCTAATATCCAGCACCTGTAAGGTACTTAAGCAAATTTACATGAAAAAGAAACCCATAGAAAAGTGGGCAAGGGACATGAACAGACACTTCTCAAAAGAAGACATACATATGGGGCCAATAATCATATTAAAAAAAAGCTCAACATCACTGATCATTAGAGAAGTACAAATCAAAACCACAATGAGATACCATCTCACACCAGTCAGAATGGCTGTGATTAAAAAGTCAGAAAATAACGGATGCTCGCAAGGTTGTGGAGAAAAAGGAATGTTTATATACTGTTGGTGGGAGTGTAAATTAGTTCAACCATTGTGGAAGACAGTGTGATGATTCCTCAAAGACCTAAAGATAGAAATACCGTGTAACCTAAGAATCCCATTACTGAGTATATACCCAAAGGAATATAAATCATTCCATCATAATTTCACATTCATGTGTATGTTCACTGCAGCATCATTCACAATAGCAAATAATGGAATCAACCTAAATGACCATCAATGATAGACTAGATTTTAAAAATGTGGTACATATATACCATGGAATACTAGGCAGCCATAAAAAGAACGAGATCATCTCCTTTGCAGGAACATGGATAAAGCTGGAGACCATTATCCTTAGCAATTAATTCAGGAACAGAAAACCAAATACTGCATGTTCTCACCTGTAAGTGGGAGCTAAATGATGAGAACACATGGACACGTAGAGGGAAACAATGCACAGTGGGGCCTATCAGAGGGTGGAGGCTTGGAAGAGGATGAGGATCAGGAAAAATAACTAATTAGAACTAAACTTAATACCTGGGTGATGAAATAATCTGTACAACAAACGCCCGTGACACAAGTTTACCTATATAACAAACCTGCCCATGTGCATCTGGACTTAAAAGTTAAATTTCTTTTTTCAAAAGGAGGAAAAAGTAGGCAAAGGATCTGAACAGATATTTCTCAAAAGAAGGCATACAAATAGGTACACAAAAAAATGCTCAGTATCACTAATCATCCCAGGGAAATGCATTTTAAAATCGCAATGAGATATCTCCTCACACCTGTTAGAATGAGTGTTATCAAAAAGATGAAAGAGGCCAGGTGCAGTGGCTCATGCCTGTAATCCCAGCACTTTTGGAGGCCAAGGCGGGTGGATCACCTGAGGTCAAGAGTTTGAGACCAGCCTGGTCAACATGGTGAAACCCTGTATCTACTAAAAATACCAAAAGTAGCCAGGCATGATGGTGCACACCTGTAATCCCAGCTGCTCAGGAGACTGAGGCAGGAGAATTGCTTCAACCCAGGAGGTGGAGGTTGCAGTGAGCGAAGATGGTGCCATTGGACTCCAGCCTGGGCAACAAGAGCGAAACTTCGTCTCAAAAAAAAAAGAAAGAAAGATAACATGCATCGGTGAGGCTGCAGAAAAAGGGAATAGTTGTACATTGTTGTTGGGTATGTAAATTAGTACAACTATTATAGAAAACAGTATGGATGTTCTCTACAAAAACCAAATTAGAACTACCATATGATCCAGCAATCTCATGTTTTAGTATATATCCAAATGAAAAGAAATCAGTATGTTGAAGGGATATCTGTACTCCCATGTTCACTGCAGCATTACTTACAATAGCCAAGTTATGGAATTAACCTAAGTACCCATCAATGGATCCATAGATGAAGAAAATGTGATGTATATACACAATGAGATATTATTCAGCCTTTTAGAAAAGGAAATTATCTTATTTGTGACAATATGGATAACCTGGAGGATACTATGCTAAGTGAAATAAGCCAGGCACAGAAAGACAAATGATCTCACTTAAATGTGGAAACTTAAAAAGTCTGACTCCTAGACATAGCATAGAATGATGGTTACCAAAGGCTGGGAGGATGGGGGAGAAAATGGGAAGTTGTTAGTCAAAGGGTACAAAGTTTCAGTTAGTAGGAATAAATTTTGAGATCAATTGCACAGCAGGGTGACTATACTCAATGTAATGTATTGTATATTTCTTTTTCTTTTTTTAAGATGGAATCTCGCTCTGTCACACAGGCTGGAATGCAGTGGCGCGATCTCAGCCCACTGCAACCTCCACCTCCCAGGTTCAAGCGATTCTCCTGCTTCAGCCTCCCGAGTAGCTGGGACTACAGGCACCCGCCACCACATCCGGCTAATTTTTGTATTTTTAGTAGGGACGGGGATTCTCCATATTGGCCAAACTGGTCTCGAACTCCTGACCTCAGGTTATCCACCTGCTTTGGCCACCCAAAATGTTGGGATTACAGGCATGAGCCACTGCACCCAGCCATGTATTTCCAAAGTAACTAAGAGTAGATTAAAAAATGACTCACCCACTTTGGGAGTCATTCTGGTCAACATGTTGAAACCCCATCTCTACTAAAAATACAAAAAATTAGCTGGGCATGGTGGCGCGTGCCTGTAATCCCAGCTACTCAGGAGGCTGAGGCAGGAGAATTGCCTGAACCCAGGAGGCGGAGGTTGCGGTGAGCCGAGATTGTGCCATTGCACTCCAGCCTGGGTAACAAGAGTAAAACTCCGTCTCAAAAGAAAAAAAAAAAAATGACTCACCACAAAAAAAATGATAAGTGAGTGATAGATATGTTAATTAGCTGGATTTAATTATTCTAGTTTGTGTGCATACATGAAAACATCACATTGTGCCTCACAAATGTATAAAATTATGAATTTTCAATGAAAAATAATATTCATTTAAAAAAATCCTTTAGTGATTGTATTATAGTCATGTAATAGACTACAAATATTTCCTATTAACATTAGAAAAAGCTGGATGAATGGTTTATGGGAGCTCTGTACTGATTCTGCAACTTCTCTGTAAGTCTAAAATTGTTTCACAATTGAAAGTTAAAAATATCCTTTTGGCAGCAGTGCAGAGGATGAAGTAGAGAAGTAGGCTGGAGGGGGGTATTGTGGTAATCTAGGGTAAGGAGGGTCTGAAATCAGACCACAGCAGAAGGCCTGGAGGACACAAGAGGGTGGATGAGAGAAATTTAGGAGTGAGAGGAGTCAGGATTCAGTGACTGGATGAGGTTTGGAGATGGAACCATTACAGGGACAAGGCTTGATTGAAGTGATAATACTCTTCCTTTAGCAGGAGAAAGAAGGTTAACTTTGAACCAGATGTGAGATAAGACCAAATGTTAGAGGGTGTTTGAAGAAGTCGAATGACTCCCTTCTAGCTGAGTAAGATTTTCAAGTGAAGTGTAACTCAGTGTCCAACCCTCTACCAAAAGAGAATACACAGCAGGACTACTGCTTTCAAGACCAGAGAGGTGGCCAGAGCTTTTTATGTGAGCATCATGAATTTGTGTATGAAGTAGGAAGAGTGTGAGTGGAGTCGCTAGACCCTGCAGGAGCTCACAATTTTTCAGGCATGTGATGTTTTGTGTAACTCTGAATGCTTCTTTGAAAATGGCTGAATTTATATAGTAGCCTTAAGAAAGATTCATGAAGCGAATGTTGTGTTAAACTTTAGTCTCAGAGTGTTAGTTCTAAATGATTCCCAGCCTTGGGTAAAATCCCATAATGGTTTTTTTCTTTATCATTTGATCAACTGCAGTGACCCTAAAGCTATCAGCTAGATTGAATTAGAGGGTTACTCTTCCTCAAGGAAGACAGGTGGAAACACACTGTACAAAGCCATTTCTCAGGGATAATTTATTTTGTCCTTTAATTCATGGCTGGCTATTTGATGGTAAGCTAACAGGCTGAATGTGAAATATTTAGATGTTTTGTTTCATGTGATATCCCAAACTGGTTTATTTCACAGGCTGAATTTACTGAATTAATCCATTATGTGACTATCATACAATTATTTTTCTGTCAACCATTCCAAAAGTGTGAACATTTCCAATAACCCTAATTCCTTTGAAAAGTTTGATGTAGTTTGTCTTTTAAAGGGTGCTTCAGAGCAGATAAGAATCCAAATACATATTGAAAATGTAAATACTGTATTTCACATTATTTGGTGCATTTTTCTAATGATTTAAGAGATTAGATGGAAACTACTCTGGAAGCTATTGTTTCCCAAATCTTAGGCTTGGTAATAGAAGAAGAGATAAACACAGCCAATTAAGAATGCTTTCTGACTGGGCACAGTGGCTCATGCCTGTAATTCCAGGACTTTGGGAGGCCAAGCTGGGTGGATCACCTGAGGTCAGGAGTTTGAGACCAGCCTGACCAACAAGGTGAAATCCTGTCGCTACTAAAAGAATACAAAAATTAGCCAGGCATAGTGGCAGGTGCCTGTAGCCCACCTACTTCGGAGACTGAGACAGGAGAGTTGCTTGAACCCAGGAGGCAGAAGTTGCAGTGAGCCGAGATTGCACCACTGCACTCCAGCCTGGGCAATGGAGCGAGGCTCCATCTCAAAAAAAAATGCTTTTTGTATGCATAAGACTGTAGATGTTATTAAGAGAGTAAGATAAAAAGAGAGAAAAGAAAAAAATCAAAATGAAAGCAAGCATCATCCTGGCCCGCCAGGAATATAGGCAACAAAATGAAAGCATAGTTGTCTATCTTATCTGTCTATAGAAAAGGAAGAATAGAACTATGATTTCATGATCAAGGGAAATACAAATTGAACAATTTCAAAGTATTTATTTAAATACTAAAGAGGGGCCAGGCGCAGTTGCTCACACCTGTAATACCAGCACTTTGGGAGGCCGAGGTGGGCAGATCACTTGAGGTCAGGAATTCAAGACCAGCCTGGCCAACACGGTGGAACCCCATCTCTACTAAAAAAAAAGAAGAAATACAAAAATTAGCCAGGTGTGGTGGTGGCGCACCTGTAATCACAGCTACTCAGGAGGTGGTGTCAAGAGAATTGCTTGAACCAGGGAGGCAGAGGTTTCAGTGAGCCGAGATAGCACCACTGCACTGCAGCGAGACTCCATCTCAAAAAAAAAAAAAAGCTAAATAGGAGCATATTGGTAAACACCCACAATAATAATGCCTTTTTGTTTCTGAGGTACAAAGAAGATGATAAACTATAATCACGAAAAGCCAGATGAAAACACAAGCCTCCAGGAAAGCTGCAGCCAACCAATTTCACAAGCTTGTTCCAGGAATGCCTGACCCAGGTAATAACTTTGATTCACAACTCAGCCATTAGAAAAAGGAGCAATGGAAATTAATCTAATGGACAACATAGTTGCTTGAATTTTTACATCAGAAATGTCTGACTCTCCATCTCCTTAAGGGAGACAGTTCGGAGGCAGTCATACTGACAGTCGTAGTACTGAAACCTATGCTGTCCTTTCACAAACTTTAAAATGCAAGATGTTTGGAAGACTAACACATAAACTGGCCCCAAACTGGTCAGGATGGTTATTTTCCTATATTTTCTTACCATGTTTTAGTCTATCAAAAAGAGCTGTAGTCTGCTTCTGGATAGAAAAAAAGAAGTTTTTTGAGAGACTATCACAAAACAGCTATTTTAGAATGAGCAGTAGATTTTAGTCTTAGTAGACTAAGGGTGGCTTTTGTCACACACTTTTGACTACTTAACTTGAAGGCTTTCAGAAGGAAAACATTCAAAAGAACCCCCAGTGAGTCAGCAAAGACTTTGAAAAGATTGTGTATATTTTCTAAAGCATATTTAAAAAAATATCATGTACAGGGGGAAAGTGTAGAACATGTACCCACAAGAGCTAAATTTAAAAAAATGTGCGTACAGTGAACACATGCGTAGCATATGGATGCGGCTGACGGAAGAGGGCCTGGCCTCCATTCAAGACACCACTCACAGCAGATGCACCGTCATAAATTTGAGCTCCACAGCCACATCCTCGCTGGTCAGGTTCCAGTCAGTTGTCTTCAAATCTAGTATAGTTAATGCACTTTCAAACTCCAGCTTTCATTTTGGTTGGAGGGATGAGAAATTCCTATGTGAAAAAGCCAAATTGCACATATCCCAGACTGATAAATAGTCATTCATTCCCCACCGCCTGTGAGACGTTGGCAAATAAAATCCCTGGCAACTTTTCATTTCCGCGTTTTAGCCTAAAAGATTTTGCCCATTGCCTGTCATCTGATTCCAACATGCGTCAAGGATGGACAGTCAGACATGATAGGATTACCACATTTTCTAGTATATTCCTCATACAAGTAAAAGGCTCTGAGTATAACAAGTAGTTCACTTTTCCTTTTATGTTCTCCCTCACCCCCCCAGAAAAGTACTACATTAATTTATTTGCTGGTGGGGTTCTTGGGTGTTCCTTTAAAACGGTGACACATGTGCTTAAACATTTTTAACATATTTATAAAATATGTAAATATTTTACAATTCAAATCAAATGTTTGAATTATCTCTATATGGACCTAAAGATGCACTAGTTTATTAGAGTTCTCTGCAGATTCATTCAATAACTGAGGACTTTGATGATGAAAGGTGCAATATTTATCCAAACTAGCAACTAGTAAAATGTGCCATCTCCACACATCAAATAGATGGTCATCTTTGGTTCTCACTGGATGGGTAGAGCAGATGTTGGCAACGAGGGGCCTGCTTTGCACTACCCTTTGGACAAATAATTTGATAACTTTGGCAGAATTGAATCTACTAATTTGATTCTTAGAATTCTAGGTGGTGGAACATTACCAGATGCCTCACAAAATATTAGCAACCATGTTTAACTGCTCTTCATCACATCCTCTTCACTTCTCTTTGGGGAGCTTCATTTTAAATTAGATGCAGCTGCGGAGTGAAAGATTTCTTTCATGTTCCTATTTAGTATGAAAACAATAGCAAAAATAAACAGTCAACTTCCTAACTTTTAGGAATTTTTCCTTTGGCTTTGACTTTTTTTTTCCTAATGGGAGAGGGACAGTTTGATCATGGTGCTGTTTTAGAGACCATCTAACGGAAATTCCATGGAGAACTACTTGTTTTTCACACTTATCCAGCAAAATTCACTAAATAGGCCTGAGGTGCTCATTTCAAAAATTGCATATAAGCAGGTTATTTTCTCAAATTCTGACAAGTTTCAATCACATATTCAGTTCATTTGATTCATTTTAGTGAAGTGGACATTAATCCTACCTTGTTTAATTTCACTGCTCAAGGAATTAATTTGTCATTTATTGGTTACTAGGTTTTTAAAGAGAAGGGAAAACACTTTGAAAAAATGGAAGTTTCATCTCTGGCCAGCATTACAGCGTCTGGCATAATTTTAGATGCCAACAAGTAATGACAAAGAAGCAGCTGTTAAAATGATCCTGCTTAATAGCCATAAAGAAATGAAGACTTCCACAGAGAGCTTTGTGAGTATACCTGGCATGTGTATCATTGTCTGAGTTATTTCCAGTTGATAATCAGAGAAGTTTAGTTCTCCTTTCTTTCTTATTCTCCTCTTCCTCATGAATTTTCTTTTCTTTCATCATGGCCTTGCAAGTTGCAAAGAATTGCTGTTTTTCAGCTCCCTACAGTGAAATAATAGAAAACAGGAAGTCTACTCTCTCTGTGTCATTTGGGATAACTTATTTTGGAGTTTGTTTCTTGAGTTACAGTTGCCTATAGATACAAAGTGATCTAAAGGGCAAACCAAGAAAGGAAGGCCTAGAATAGCCTGTTTGTCTGGGGTCTTTTAAATCTCTGCAGTCATTAATACTTTATCGACTACCTGTGGAATAAGAAATGTCTGGGTTGGCTGCTTCTAGCAAAAAAAAGTTTCTTTTCCCTTCAGATCAGTCTCAGTGGAGCTGCCATTTCCTGCTGACTGAGAGACAAGATGGAGTGCCAGATTGTCATTTAGTTTAACTCTATGGAAATGAGGCAAGGGAATCTGACCATGACTAAACTTTGCATCCAGCAAAAGAACACAGGGCAATCAAGGAAACTTCGGAGGACAGACTGCTGGTAGGTTTGCAAGATGTGTTAGGCTGGCAGAGGGGCAGTCCCCAGGAACACAGAGGTGACAAAAACTCTTAGCATTTATTTATTCAGACCTTTCATTATGCCAGAATTGAAGCACTTCCTTTAGGGAGGCTGCCCTAAAGAGATGGCTAGCTTTTATGACCAAGAGAAGGTAAACAGAAAAACAGACCCACCGGCCACCAGAGGAATGACCAACCACAATGCTCAGGAGAGGTCTAGCACAACTCAAACTCAACTATTCCATCTGTTTTCCTGACTTCTCTGTGTGTGTGTGTACACAGGGTTGTGTGTGTGTGTGTGTAACACACACACACACACACACACACACACCTTTGTCAACCTCAGTTTTGCAAGTCTCTTGTTCAATTGCCTGTATAGGACTTAGAGGAAAGAGAAATAAGCATCAAAATAAACTTCTTTCTTTCTCACTTTCTCTCCAGTTCTTAAATCTTAAATTGCCAGGTTTAAATGAAACAATTTTAAAAGGCAAATTTACTTAAAGCAATAATAGCAACTTAAAACAATTTGTAAAGTATCTTTTAAAATTCATTATAAAACCACATTTTACATGTAAATTTTTCCGATAGATTTAAAAAATTTCTGGGTTCCCCAAAACATTTTTGTTTGTCTTCTCACATTTGCTCATGATATGAGTAATACGTGTAGCCACAACGTGCGCCTAGCCGTTATGTACGCCTAGCCCTAAAAGTGTACAATGTGGTTCAAGTTTTGTGGGCTGGATTTTAATTTCCAGAAATTATCTTGCTCAGAGTCCAATTTCTGTTAAGCACCAACTTAATTTCTTGCAGGTCTCAGGCTTGTGGCTTCCTACTAATTGTCAGGCTGCTGGTGTCGTATTGATTAAGTAGTTATATTCTTAAGGACTTTTCAACTAATAACAAGTTTATATTTATTAGTTAGCTGGACAGAATAGGAATACTCAGCATGTTGCCCAGGTTTCAGTTTAGCACTTCATTTTGCAAACTCTTTTACACTGCTATTTTTGCAAATTATTTCTCACAACGGTCCTGTGAGATAGGCTAATGATGTTGTCCAGAAGCTGTCTAGGTTTTAGAAAGGGTACATGATGTGTCCTGAGACAGCAGCAGAGCCAAGATTAGAATTCACAGTTCCTGGGGCTCAGGCAGCCACGCCTTGCCACCCATTCAATATGTCCACCCCCTTATTTTAATTACATTAAGTTTCAGTGCCACTGCAGAGTAACAGATTAAGAGAAAATAACACTGTTCAAATGGAAATGGAGTTCAGGTCCATAAAGGCAGAGCCTGGCGTTCAGTGGCCTGAGTGGTACCTCTTGAGGGGCTGAATGCTCCATTTCCTCTGGAGTAGCCTAGAGAAATGGCTCCCTGACAGGCCCTTTCTAGTCCTCTTCTGAGTCAGGCTGTTTGAACTGAAAGATTATTTAGTTCAACTCCTTGTTTTGCAGATAAGGAAAGCCAGGTCCGGAGAGATTGAGTTTTGCCCAGGGCCTCAATGCAAAATTAGGTCAGTGTCATGAGAAGCACCCAGATCTCCAGATGCTGCTTTCAGCCCTCATTTCCCTGAACTACACGCTATTTCTCAAGACTGACTCCTTCCTGAACCACTTTCGATGGAGTTAGAAAATGAATGGAGGTATCAGCCAATGTTTATGCGGCGTGAATTTGGGTTTTTTTTTTTTAATTTAAAGGAAGCCTAGATCTTGACATAGCTTGTAGACAGAAGATGAGGTTAAAGTAAAAGAGCTGATAAGTAGAATACTTTCTATTTCACCAAGTAATATTACCAGCTGTATAATGAGAACTATGTCTACAAAATCCAGAATGAATGGGAGACTTCAAATTGTCACTGCAGATAGCTAAACCAAACGAATTATCCAGGTCTTAAATAGAACTCTGTGGTCTGAATGAGAAAGAGAATAATTAGTTCTCTAAGTAAATTCTATTTCTTCATTGTGAGAAACACACATTCACCTGTCCAAACCCAAAGGATGGACTCAGAGACAGGAATAGCAGTGACTTTTAATGGCGGTCTTGCAAGATCTGGTGTCTGGTAGGCAGGCACATACGGGGCAATCATAGCAGGTAATTTATCTCCTAGCATGCGGGTCCCTCCCCTAGTTCCCCATTGGTTGAGTACTATAGGGTTACAGTCTTCCCTGAAGTTGCCCAAGTTTCATTATCCCCCTTACAAGGTTATATCCTTGTCTCCTTCCCTGCTTAAGTTTTGATTTCCCCCAAATGAAACTTCCTTTTTATGGACTGACCACTACTCTACATTCTGTTCATTTATCGTGCCCTTCTAGGTGCATGAGCCATGCTGTTTGTTATATCCATAGGCTGGCTGCCAGTACTTACATTTATCATGCCTTGAAAATGTACCATTTAGAATGTTTTCTCACATTCATGATAATCGTTAATATGTAAAAATGTTGCCTGAGAAGGCCTGAATTAGAAAAAATAACCCAGTGCAATCCATGATTTTGAAAATCTATCCTGGGCCCAGGGCTTTCTATACACCAGTCATTCTCATACAACTGCCCCCATTTTTTTTTTAACCACAGCTGCATGTTTCCATTAAGTTCATTTTTAAAAATATAAGTAAATGTATGAAAAAAGAAAGCTTTGTAAAATGATAAAATGGAAAACCAGTATAATTTGCCAAAATCAATTAAATTTACAATTATAAAAATCTTTAAAAGTTTATATGTGCTTTTACTAGAACCATCTCATGCATGACCAACAGTGTGTATACTGTGCCTTGGGAGATGTTGATCTAGGCTAGAAGTTATCAATATTTTTTTAGAGGTGGGGGAGGAAACTCAGGAACCATTCTATTTGGCCTCACACAGATAGGTAGTTGGAAAAGAAGTATGTTTTCATCATCTTAGAAAACTGTAGATATTTTCTTTGATACTACAACAAGGCTTAAGATAAAGACTATGAAATGAAATCAATGAACTTTTACTTCAAAATCTACTGGTCTACCTTGCGCTTTGAAGGAATTTCTTTGCCCATGCCTGATTTTGTGTAAGCATGCATTGGTCATTTGGAAAACATTGTTTTACTGGGCTATGCAGATCTTCCAAATTTTGGCAAACTTATATTTTTTAATATCACCACCAGCCACATGAGGAAAGCATTTAAACGTTGGAAGTCTGTTAATCTCATGGTGGCAGATACAAGATTCCAAAATTCAAATTTTTACCTGAAAGCTCCCATTTTATTATTGATGACAAATAAGAAAAAACAAGCGTTCTTTTTTCCCTTCAATTGAGAGGTCCACTTAGTTCATTTTCAAGAAAATGTCACTACGTACCAAAGTCTCAATAGTCATAGTTTGTGGGCAAGTTAAGCTTCCTCAAATCAAAGTTTGTAAGTCTGTAAGTCTTAACAGCAAACTGGATGGTGCTTTGTGACAAAGGTGGTTAGGTCAGCTGCAGCTCAACCACACAGGTGCTTGTCCTTGAAACAATGGCCGTACTTTGGTATGAAGCAGTAATTCATGTGTGCACTCCATTTCATCACACAAAATGTCTAAAATACGTGCATTCAAGGGTTGGAATTTAATAAAATCAGTAACTCTGCTTCATCAAAGACATTCTTAAGTTAAATCGGTGCTAATTTTTTCCTTTTTTTTTTTTACTGCGAATGTATGATATTGAAGAATACAATGACTATAAGCAAAGTTTGGTGCCACTGCCTTGATGTGTATTAAGGGACCAGTGGTTTTACTTGCCATTGCTTTAGCACTATCAGTGCAAAAGTCAACCTTGAAAAAAGGCAAATAACATTTTGGTATTAGCGTGAAAATAGTTCTGATCTCACAAACCCCTGAAAGGATCTTGTTGATCTTCAAGGATCTGTGGCCACACTTTGAAACCTGCTGAGTAAGGCAAATTCGCAAAATTAAGGGAAAAGCAAAGGAATCTCATTTATTATATACCTTATAAACATTATGTAATAAACTGAATTGTGTCGTCCCTAAATTCATATGTTGTAATCACCCTCGCCCCCGCCCCTACCGAATTTAACCATATTTAGAGACAATGCCTTGAAAGAATTTAAAGGGAGGCCATTAGGGTGGGGTCCAATCCAATATGACCAGTGTCCTTATAAGAGGAAGAGACACCAGGGACATAGTACACAAGGGACAACCATATGGAAAAGCAGCAAGAGGATGGCCATCTGCCAGCAGAGTGGCCTTAGAGGAATATAATCCTGCTGGCACCTGGATCTTGCACTTGCAGCCTTCAAAACTGTCAGAAAATACATTTCTGTTGTTTAAGCCACCTCCTCTGGGGTATCTTATTATAGCAGCCCTAGCAAACTAATACATATTGGCATCATATGATGACATTATGATAAATACGTGATGACGTTTATGATGCTATTAGTCATAAAAACTTTGAAGTACATATTGTCATCCTCATTTTATGGAGGAGGGAGTGGAAGCTCAGGGAAGATAGGCAATTTTCTAAGCTCATGCAGCTAAGAGAGGAAAAAGCCAAAATTCAGATATGACCACAAAGCCAGAGGTCCCAGAGCCAGTGCATGAGTGAGCTCGTATGGAAACTCAAATTCCAGTGCTCTGTCTGTGACATCAAGTTGCCCTGTAGAAGTGAAGATGTTATTTCATACTAATGATCCTAATAAATAGAAAACCTAAATTACAAATAAACAATTTCTACTAACAGTATAAGTCAATATTACTCTGATTAATGATTTTGCAAAATTTTATCTCTGCTGTATAATGCAATTTTTTAAAAAAAATGATAATTATAAATAGGCAGAGACCAGTGTGGCTCAAACACAGAATTTTATCACAAATACGAACTACGAAAACCAACCCCACCCTTCTTTCTCTAATAGACATATCCGGAGGAGCTAAACCAAAACCTAAAGAAGTAAATAAATGACCTAACAACTCCTGTTTGAACCTGTGACCTTTCTTTGCCTGGTCTTGTAATGTGCTATTGATTGGCCAGTTGGAAGGGACACTGTTTCAGCAGCCTGCTGTCCATGAGAGCACTTGGTGTCTCAGTTGACCCCTCAGGAGGTATGGCTGAAAGTTCAGCATCAAATGGCTTTTAACACCTAGCTTTCATTCTGAATCTCCCTCAAGTCCAGCAGTAATGAAGCAATTGTATATCCTGCCATAATACATCTGAATCAAAGTGAAGCCAGTACCCTCTTCCTTCCAGGCAGTAGAGTGGATCAGAGTTTAGATAGATGAGGAGCATCTTATGTACGGCCCTGATCAGAAGGATAGAAGCTCCATCCTTTGGCACAGAGCAACTCTGAGTGCTTTTCCTGTGCAGGTTGCCATTTGTATTAGAAATTTGACTGCCAAGGAGTTTAAGCCTTACTGAGGAATAGGAATCTATAGTCCTTCATTTCAAAGTTCTTGCTTCAGTGATGTCTTATTTTTTTTTTTTTTGCATTTAGAATTAATTCAACTGCAGAAAAAGTACACATCTACCAAATATCAAGCTTTGCATTAGATACCAGGGGTCTTAGGCTAAATAGGACATGCATTGCTTTTTTCTCAAAGAACTTTTATTGTCTCTATTGTGTTATTTGAATTCAGAATGCCATTGCCTCATTAGCCTATTTCATTTTATTTGTAGTATTTGCCAATGTCAGATAGTCTTTTATTTTTATTAATGTACTTGTTGTCCATTTCCCCAACCAGAATGAAGCTTCTCTGCAAAGGCATGTATCGTGTCTGCTTTGTATATCACTGTTATCAGACCTAGAATAGTGCCTTGACACAGTGTAGACATCCATTAAGAATGAATAATCTACAGCTGTCTAACATTCGTTACCGTGTACTGACTAGGTCTGAGTAGTTTGAGAACATGAAGTCTTTTTTTTCTTTAAGGACAGAAGTATAATGACTAAGTTTAAAGGATGGACACCATATTACCACATACACTTGTATTTTGTTAGAAGAGATTTTGTTTCAAGACAAGTCTGGACAACAGAGTGAGATCCTGCATCTATTAATATTTAAAAAACCAAAATTAAGAGATTTTAGAATATCTGTTAAAACCCATCTGAAGTCACAGTGTTTTAATTGTTAAAGTGATTTTCACAAATTCTCAATGGAGCGAAGAATTTCTTTCCCAAGAATTCTTTTCCAAGAATCTCTTTAACCTACTTCCTTGAGTTGAAAGAGTAGTTTTCATAGGGATGAGCTGTGCAAACATAGTGTCCAAAAAACATCTGACACTTTTATCTCGAATGACACAGTAGAATTTAAAGAACTTGTCATCAAGTGGTCCTTGACAAAAAACTTTGTGGAGAGTATTTTTGCCATTTTGAGAATTTTTACAATCAGAACTTGCCCCCACCTTGCACATCACTTCTTTCACAAAAATTCCATCTGCCAAGTCACCTTCTCTGCACCTGTTGAGGAATATAGATCTCCTCATGGTTTTTGGCATTGGAGTAAGAAAATAAACTGGTGATGGGTAATGTGATTATGTATTCTTGGACCTTTCATCTGTATTATTGATTCATGTATGTGTGTGGGTGTGGGTAGAGGCATGTGGGTTGGCCTTTTGCAGAATGAGATTCTGTAGTTTTCTGCAGTGGACATTTCCTACCTTTGGCTGGCCCAGATAGTAAGAATACTATCTTTTCTGGCTTTGATTGCTGATAATTTTAAGCCGGTTTCATTATTTATACCCTTTTTTGGACTATTAAACATGTCGATTTTGGTGTAGACAAGAGGCACTCATAGAAAGGGCTTTTTTTTAAAGGTCTCTGCATATAAGATACTTCCATAGCAAGTCATAGAAAACATTCTCAAGTTTCAGTGTTGACAGATGGTGCTGCTGTGCAGTATAAGCAGCAATGTCCTCATGAGACTATTGATTTCGTTTGTGAATATAAATCCCTAAACAATGACAGATAAGCTGGTGAGATGTGCTTCTTTAATAATTCAATAATTTCATTAAATGATCTGGTCCTAAGTAAAATAGAGGTGGTGAGATACCTGACCATGGACTGTATTTAAGTCTCATATCAAAATAAGATCATGGTCTACTTTTGTTCATGTTTATCTATTTTGTCTGCTTCAAGATAAAAGGAAGTCTTTCAGTGTGTGAATTCTAAGAAATAGGGCAAACGACATCAGATTCTTCCAACTGTCTCATAGCAGCCATTTTGAGTTCAGGCTCCTCACATTCAAGGCAATGGCTTGGTTCATTTGCTTACTAGGTAACCTTGAACATTGATTTATTTTGCCTGCTGCTATTTAGCTTTCTGTTTTCTTAGCAGGTTCCCATCTCAATGGAGCATGGACAGTTGTAGGAAGTAGAAGCCAATTTGATTCCAACACAGCACTTTATTACAGCTAAGAAGGACATATTATCCAAAGCCGTCTTCCGATGTGCCAGAAGCAACAATCAGGAAGATTTCTACGGGGCAAATAAACAATGTGAAACTAAATCAAGAAAGTTTTGGAAACACATCTTGAATTAGCCCAAGTGTATCCGTGCATTTGTGTATTTGTTGTTTATGCACAACAAAGTCCTATAAAATCAAATTGGTTTACTTCACCTTGATTTACGTTAGTAAAAAATTTAAATATCAGCAAATTCATATTTATGTTTGCCTTCACAAAGGAGTTATAAACTTAACGTTTTGTATATTTAATTTATTAATTAGGGACTGGTAGATCATCAAAGAGATAATTTTACGATCAAGAGTCATAGAGTAACACATGTACAATTTAATTTTTGGCAAGGCTCAGAAAAAACAATTTGATATGTTAATGGATCCTAATGGGCAATAGCTATTAATTAAATAAATAGCCCATTAGACTGAGAAGTGAAGTGTCAGCACAAGGACAATCTACTAAGATTGCTGAAGAATAGCAATTAACTTACAGTATTTAGTGGTGGCACAGATATTTATATTTGGTTTTGTAGATATTTGTGTCAGCTATATCAAATTAATTAAACCAGCAACTATTTAATAAATCTCTACAATGTGTGCAATGCTATGCTAGGCATTTGGAACAAAGCAAAAAGTAGACAACATGATCTAGATTCTTGGGGAAAATATAGTACAGTAGGGAGAGGCAAGATGTAAGTAAATTTAAAATACAATGGTTGTACATGTTGACATACTAAAAATGTTTTAACGTATTACACCATTTTAACGTATCTTTACCATTTTTATCCCTGTCCATCATGACTTACTAAAAATTGTTGAGGAAAAATAATGCTGGAGGAGGGTCTGGGGATAACCAAGAAGGTATAAGTCCTGGCCTCTCCACAGGAAGCCAGTGATTTAATTTGGAAGATTGATTGCTAAATGAAATCTTCGCCAACACAGGAAGTCCCATGAATAGGAAAGGGAGAGAGAGCTGAGGACCAGGATATCCTGGCCAGCGTGTGGAGGAGAACTGGATCTTGAGGTACAGGTAAAATGTGACTAAACAGAGAGGGGAGGTGGTGGCTCACGTGGGGACGATGGCCAGAGCCAGCTTCATTGTGGGGCATTAGGGGTGAGGCTGGAGAAGAGATTTATGTAATGAAGCCACGTTGTGTGCATGCTGGTGATTGAGGAATTTGGACTAAGCTCTCCTGAGGAGAGTGACAGAATCAAAGTGGTTGTAGGAAGATACTGATCAGATTGAAGGGTGCTGGGAGACCTGTGGTAGGGAGTAGGAGCTAAAAGGCAACAAGATTGGCTGGAGGCCTTTGTGAGGGGTAAGAGATGAACATGATTTCCTAAACCAGATCACAGCCTTATTAAGGGAAAGGGAAATGCCCTTCTTTTCCTTTGTTTGCTTGTTTTTCCTGTATATTCAGTCCAGGATGTATACTTCAGTAGAATAACCCCTTGTAGAGCCACTGACTTATGAGACTATCTAAAGACAGGTGCTGACCTTTGCCACTGATAACTGTATTTGGCCTCCTGGAATAAGAGCGCCTCATGAATAAAACAAGTTAGAGAAACCTAAGGAGATTCAAGCAGAGGTCACTCTATAGTGAGGTGATAAATTTTGTGACTGATATCGAGGCCTAGCCTAGTTGCGAGCAATCATTACTGAACTACCTGGTGATAACGACAGGAGGCGAAGAAAATGTGCATTCTAAGTACAGTGCAAATGCAGATCGCCAGCTTCCTGGAGATCTGATCAAATAAAACTTAAGTTTTAATTAAACTGTGGCCAAATTAATTAAAAGTTACTATATTGTGTGATAGATAATTATCAACTAGAATGTTAGTTATTTTGCTGCAGCATCCTGATTTCTTTATCTTCCTATTCGGAAAATGTAAAAATCCTTTTAGCCTTTTAGTTGAATCACAAGCAAAAAAAAAAAAAAAATTTTAAGCTAGCAGGATGTATTAAACATTAATTTAAGGACAATCATGCAAACCTAAATTTTTCTTTTTTTTCTAGCTACATTTTATGTTCTTGAGATAATCTTTACAGTGGCATATCTATTTTTTTAAATAAGCTTTTAATAAATTTGGTAATAATAGCAACTAATAATGTTAACAATAATAATGATAACTGTCATTTCTCTCTCCTTAGGATCATTTTGTGCCGAGCATTCATAACTGAGTCATAGCTGTCTATATTAAAGGATTGTTCCTAGATTTTATTTATCTTGTTTAGCCTTTTAATTCAATTGGTTTCTTGGCTGATTTGTCTCCCAGTGTGATCAATCAATGGGAACTAGGGACCCAATTCACATTTTCACTTAAGTCGATTGAAATGTTGAGTGTGGTTGTGATTGTTTAGGAGATAAAATGGGATCACTGACTTAAAGATCATTTCTTCCTGGTTTTGTGCCTTAACTTTATTTTCCCCAGCAGACGTTCAGATAACTGATTCTCTGTTATGGAAGCCTACAGGGAGTGGAAAGGTAGGTAGAGATTTCTCTTCAGTGACAATTTCCATTAATTTTGTTATTTCTCATCAACAATTGATGTACCCAGAGGCGATCAAAGTATATGTAAATGACCGGCAATTGGTTTCACTTCAAATCTAATACTTTGCAAAAAGCACTTTGTGGCCAGTATCTAAGAGAAGTTTAATAGAAGTCAAAGGCTGGAAGAAAATGTGGGGGCTATGTCATTTCCTCCCAAGCTCCTCTCCTCATCTAGCATTAGACAGGCACTACCACTTCTCTTCTCAAGGTGCCCAGACAGGACGATTCTGCAATAGCCTTTAGGAAATTCATTTCAACGTTAATATCCCTCATGGCCAAGAGAGAAGTAATTTGGCTCATATATAATCTGGTTCCTCCTCGTCTGCATTGAAAGCCCTTAATGACCTCATGTCTTCCCTCAGCAGGACTGAGGGTATTCTGTCAAAACGTCATGATGGATTATGTGCTTGGTGACCTGTGACTTTTTGCAAGGCAAGTAGAGTAGAATGAAAAGATGGCGAAGAGGGAGGGGAATACCCATATTTGCCAGCCTGCCATCCGGCAGCAGAAGGAAGGTTTCCAGAGGAAAAGCTGAATGAGATCCTTCTGCTGCTTCCCCTCCTCTCCTGCCATTACCTTCTCTACTCTGAAAGCCTAACAGGGAAACAATTTAGGAAAAGAAAAGAAAACTCTCTCCTCTGTGCTCAGCAGTTGCCATTTACAGGACTCTTGCAAGTTTAATGAAAGGGAAAACCGGCCCTCTTGCGCATCTCCTGTAATACTTCCTTTGGCATGTAATACAAACGAGAAGACATTCAATGTTAAATATTTGTGCGTATTTTGTTTCTTATTTGGTTTGAGAGTTCCCCTACAAAACGGCTTTTTTAAAAAAGGAGATCATTATATTTAGAGGGGCTTAGTAAGAGACTTTGACAATTGAGTCAAAGGTTTGCTATTGGAAATAGATACTTGGTGTCGCAAAGAAAAGTTAGCACTGAGACAAGGATCTTTCAGCAATGCAATTTTTACTTCCTGGACTCCATGAAGGGTACCCTCGATAGCCATTGTGCCGTGAGAGTACAGTGAAAAAAGGAAAACACACAAATTTATCCCTTACGCATTTGGGGTCATCCTTACTGCTGTGTCTGATCTCTGTTGGCTGGAGCCAGACCTCACAATCTAGACTAAAACCGGATTAGCTAATAACTCAGAACTTTTCTAAACAGGTGAAAGCAATGGAGGGCTGGGCCATGCCTGTGAACGTGTCCAGCGCAGATATCTTTGTTAAAGTTCAAGGACATAGACTGTACTACGTGCCTGTAAGCATGGCATGTCTAACAGCTACATGGGATAAGGCTTAACAAAGTTATTAGCACACTTATTCTTTAATAAGAAAGGAAACTTTAAAAAGGAACTTTTCTACTTCCCACATTTGCTCACCTCGAAACTGCTCAGGTAAAGAGAACATCTTTTTACTGTAAAGGAGCATTCCTTAGATCCCTTTAAGCCACCCTAGACAATAAAGACTAATTTCAATTTGTTCAGAAGTAACCTCAGAATTATAGACAGGGGGGAGGGTTGCAGCACTAGCCAGAGCCCATGTGTTGCATTTGTAACCCGCTTGTTTGCAAGAAACACACCAACAAATCATGCAACAGCATATTCCAGATAATAAAGTTTAAAACTTCTATGTCTGTGCTATCCTACATTGGTGTTCCTATCTGTGAGGTACCCTAACTACGGTGTATTGTGTGTCCTGACTCCTCATCTAGGTTGAAAGTCAGATCACATCATTCCTCTAAATCCCCAGCACCTGGCACAGGGGCTGGAAATGAGTAGGTACTGCTAAAACAATTGTGGAATGAATAAATGAACATAGAAACTGCCTTTTTCTAATATATTTATCTGAAAAGACCGGTTGATTCTTTATATAAGTTTTGCTCTAGTGGCTTCTTGGAGAAAAAAAAAAAAACGAAAGTGTAGGTTTTACTCAAGACTGTTCTTGATGAGGCTATAACAATGTATGGACTGAGAAAGGCGAGAAGGAATGTGGGATAAAAAAATGGGGAAAATCTTGCTCTGGGGAGTTTTGGGCTTTTATACAGGTTGGTTTCTGCTGGGCACTGCCTGAGATAGATTTTGTGTGGATTGCTGAGTGAGGGTCTAGAAATAAGTTCATTTCATTGTTTAATGTGTAGAAGGCTGGAAGTGTGAAGTACCAAGTCAAATCAAGGGAAAAATGCAAATGAAAGTCACGTTTCCTTGAACGTATTCTGTAGCTCTTAATTTCTCTGGCTACCTTAGACTTGGGGCAGTTTTCTCTCTGGACCGTATGTCATTTATTTTGGTTCTACGAAGTCACACACCACTGGAATGCCATTGGTATTCTTACCAACCCAGCACCATCTGCTCTTTTTTAGACAACAGCTATTCTGTTCCGGCTTTCTCCAGCTCCTGCTTCTTTCAGTTTTCTCATATATTTTCAATCGTATGCATTATTTTCTTGGTGAATAAGAAACAGTAAGTGCCTGAGGAATTAGTCTTTGGCTACATTTCTCCCCCGACAGGCACTGGATTTTGAAATGCTTGTTTGTTCCCTTTCTGAGTTTTGATCTTCTATATGCGAAATGAAATGTTTATCTGTAACATTGGCAAAGGGAAATGTAGTCTTCCGGAAAAGCCCTATAATCCTTACATAAATCATGAGTCACTGTTTAACTGATGACCAATTAATGTCATAATGTTTCCTCTACTCAAAAATCAGGTAGCAAAGATGAATCGTTTCCAGAGGAAGTGAGAGGTAACTGATGAAGAAAACAAATCAATTTTGGTGTAAACTTAGTCTTGCTCCGCTCCCAGTATGGCTGATGACAGGATGCTCAGAAATGTTAAAGGCATGTTCAGTTAGAACTTGAGAGCAGCAAACTCATCCCCTGGCTGGTGTTGTTTACCTAGAATGTGTGGCTTTCGTGCCATGATCAAATTTCATTTCTCATCTATCTATCTATGTGGTTTAAAGGAAACTTTGTCAGACTTAAAGTAAGGGGATGTGGTTTCAAATCCAATTCCATGCAGGTTGTAAACCTCTGAATCTGAGCTTCCTCATCTGTAAGATGGAATTAATGACACCTACACTACAAAGGTGCTAGGAAGATTAACCAGGACAGCATATGGAAAACCTTGGAATCAGCTGCTGTTCAATAAATGTTGGCTGCATTTTAATCTGCAATTACTAAAACGAAGTCCAGAAATGAGATAATGAATCTAGATAATTAATCCTTGCATCAATTATTTAGACTCTGCATAAAGAGAAAGGCTTGGGGAGTCAATTATCTGTATACTTACTCAATTCTGTGCTGCATCTTTCAAATAAGCTTGGAATTTAACACATAATCATATTCTTTCTTTAGGTAATTAGTTCCAGGGATGAAAGGGTTAAGGAATTGCCCATCCCATTTTGTTCAAAGATTTTTTTTTTAAGGCACTGTTAGAAGAGATGAAATCTAATGTAAATGTCAGCCCCATATCAAAATAAACTTACCATTAGAATCCAAAATTCTCTGGATTTATTAAGATGTTATGAATTTAGTAGGATTTCCATCACTCCTCCCTCTATTTGTAGTGACCAAAGCATGAAACCATTGTTAAAATCACCTATTCATCAATTTGCTCTTCTGCTTTTCAGTAATGGAGTTTCCCAGATGAAACAGTATATTAAATTTAGCCCTTTTCTAGTAAATTAAAGCTTTTCTTTTACCAGCCAGGACCATTAATGCCATTTTGTTATCAAGAAATGTTCATGCTTATGCTGTTAATCATTAAAATAATTGCAATTATTTTACCTAGGCATCCTTTAGTTTTCAGACTCTTTTAAAGCCCTAATAATACCTGGAGTCACCTAAGGCTTTAGGTAGTCTTTTAACTGAGCATTTTCATTTTGATACATAGATTTGTGATTAACTTACTAATGACAAAAAGGTGAATTATAAAAATATCCCCACCTTCTAGCATTCATTATCCACAGTACACTATCAGCCTTCCCAGGCTTCAAACTAGTTCCCCTTTAGCTTAATTTTATTACTTTATCAATTTTAGGTATCATGATCCATTGAAATTTAAATTCATTTGGTTGAAACCAATAAAATACCATATAGTTGCTGTCAAGTTTTCTTTTAAAACGCTATCTTTTATACTTAAAAAATTAAGTGGTATATATTATCATTGCTTTTCTCCATATTTATTATAAAATATCTGTTGAGGTCCAATATTGTGTTCTTTAAGGGTCTCAATAGGAAAAAAACTAGCACTCAAATGAAATAATTGAAAATGTTTGTTTGTTTGTTTGAGACATAGTCTCTCTCTGTCATCCAGGCAGGAGTGTAGTGGTGTGATCACAGCTCACTGTAGCCTCAGCCTCCCCGGCTCAAGCTACTAGCTCAAGTGATTCTCCCATGTCAGCCTCCCAAGTAGCTGGGACTGCAGGTATACACTGCCCCACCCAGCTAATTTTTTAGGTTTTTAAATTTTTTGTACAGACAGTATTTTGCCATGTTGCCCAGGCTCATCTCAAACTCATGGGCTCAAGTGATCTTCCTGCCTCAGCCTTCCAAAGTGCTGGGATTACAGGCGTGAGCCACTGTGCCTGGCCTGAAAGAGTTTTAATAAATGAACTATGTCAAAAGATGCAGTCAGAGTTGAGGGAACCCAAAAGATATAGGAATGAGTTCCAGGGCCAGCCATAATGGGGAGCTATCACCTGACTTAGGCGTGAAAGAGCAAGGGGCGGGAGCAACTACTGGAACCTGAAGAGAGTGACTGTACTGTAAGAGAGGTCTGACTGACAGGAGTTGTGTCTTTGTTGGGGGAAATAGCCAATCCAAGGTGACCTTGCAGCAAGGGACCTAGGGTCCTGAACTTATTTTCCTTCTGCCCTTCCAGTTTCTACTGGGAGTTCCCACCAACCACATCCAACTAGTAGCTAGAGGCAAGAGTGTCTTTTGATAACAGTTCACACAGGTCCACCTTCTGTGGCACAAAGCAGGGCAGAGAATGGTGAACATGCCCCTAAAGGGCATGTTATTAGGTACTAAGCAAATGGGTGTCAAACACTTTCAGTTTGTGATCATATTCATTTTAACTGAATACACATTGGTGGAACATCGATTAGAGGAAAGCCACTTTAGTGACCTCTAAAGATATGAAGACAAGTGAGCAGGACTGGACTAGGGTCAGGCAAGCAAGGTGTGTAGGGCACATTTGCGTGTGCTTGAGGCGACCTCCTTAAATTTTGTGCTGAGGTTCTTCACTTGCTTCACTCTGGTCTCAGCCCTATAAGTAAGACTCAATACCCATCTTCAAGGGTTTTTCAATCCAGCCAGACAAACGTGAATAAAAAAGAACCATAGCACGAAAAGTCCAATTACAAGTGCCATGCCAAAAGTACAAGAAGTGATATGAAAGCCCAAATGCCTGACTAATACATTTCAGTGACAGGATATGGTATGGCTCCTCTGAAGACAAGTCATCTAAGCTGGGTATTCAAAAACAAGTCAGATTTTGAGAAATTTGTTTGTTCAACAGTTATCAACTGAGCATTTACTATATGTGAATTCCTGTTTTAGATGGTAGGGGAAGAGCAGAGACCAACACACAGAAGGTCCCTGATCTCATGAAGCTTACGTTTTGGTGGGAGCAAAAGACAATAAAAAAAATAAGTGATGGACTATTGGATGGAGGAGGAGATGACCGGATGCTCAAAGACAATTGTGCTTGGGTGCCTTGCATTTTTGCATGTTTCATGAGAAGAAGCTCTAACTGTCTCTTTGTTTTGAAGTGTCTTTTCAAGGATGTTTGTATAGCAAACAGCCTTGAAAGATAATAGTGTCCCCCTCGGGAGCAGGTGGTAGGTAGGTTTGCTTACTGTCTACTATAAAAGGTTTGGGACACCTGAGCTCATGGCTCCTCAGCCACAGTGTGTGTGTGTGCAGCATTCACCAAGGCCCTCCCCAGATCACTCCTAATTTGAGGGTCAAAAGGAAGCAGCATAAGTATGAAGCCCATGCTATCTGCTGTGTTGTGAGTGATAAGGTGCTATGTCTTCGAACCAGGAGTCCAGTGTTTTCTGCTCTCATCCATGAAACCGTGGCTGGCTACTTTGTTAATTTGCAAGCAGGTAAAACCTCAGACCCTTGGTAGTTCTCAGCAGTTTTTGGTGAGAGTATAAGATGCTGACAGAGACATTGCTTTCTGAAAAAGAAAGGATAAGTACCATATGGGTCAGCCTCAGGAATATGAAAGGACTTTCTAGAATCCAGTGGTAATATTCTTACTCAATGGGTGAGCAAGGATTGTAGGGGAATTAGTAAGGGTCTCCATGGTCCTACCTGTTAATACGTTTTACAGCCAGGTGAAGGGGCATAGGAGTAAAACAAGCAATCAGAACAGTGTTTTTGTCATTGCTTGCTTACCTCAGGTGGGAAGAAGAAGAAATGTTACAGCGACAATGAGGCAGCAAGCCCTGTGGCCAGAGCCAAAAGACAATATGGCTATAGCTACTGAGGCAACGATGCTGAAATAAATGTTGTCAGCAGTGAAGATACAGAGATTTAGACAGGCTAAAGGCATTAGAAGTTCATTTGCTTGCACTGCACTGTGACTGCTTAAAACTGAAAGTAAATGAAAAGCCTTGGCCGGGCGCGGTGGCTCAAGCCTGTAATCCCAGCACTTTGGGAGGCCGAGGCGGGTGGATCACGAGGTCAACAGATTGAGACCATCCTGGTCAACATGGTGAAACCCCGTCTCTACTAAAAATACAAAAAATTAGCTGGGCATGGTGGCGCGTGCCTGTAATCCCAGCTACTCAGGAGGCAGAGGCAGGAGAATTGCCTGAACCCAGGAGGCGAAGGTTGCGGTGAGCCGAGATCACGCCATTGCACTCCAGCCTGGGTAACAAGAGCGAAACTCCGTCTCAAAAAAAAAAAAAAAAAAGAAAAGCCTTGATTTCCGGTGCAGAATCACCCTCTTCCTCTGCACCTCTGCTATCTCTCCCTCTCCCTTGACCTTGATCTGAGCTGCTTTAAAGAGAAGGATGACTGCGGCTGGGCCAAGGTCTCCCTGTCCCCAAGGGCAACTGGAAGCCATATACACTTATGTGAGTATGTTGGGAAAGCTTGGCTAGGGAAAGACCTCAAACTTTTAAGTTCTGTTGGGCATAGACAACCCATCCCAAAGTCCCAAGTGACAGGGGCTGGGTTGGGTATACAGTAGGGAAGGGAAGTTAACACGACCTTGTGGATAGGGTGAATCTATACTATGAATTGATGTTTTATACTCCTGTACTTCCCTGACCCAGAAGTTGCCAGAGGGGATTCTCCTGATCAGAGAGAGAGGCTCATGTATGGAAGTGTTAGTGAGATAAACCATCCTGATATTTGCATCCAGTGGGTGAGTTGGGATTTAGCCTGCATGTCTCCATCCTCAGATGCCCAAAGTTTTCACTATTCAGATGACATTCTCCTGGGTAGCAAGTCAGAAGCCTGAGTAGGTCCTGACCGTGGTATCATCCCACATCTGCCAGCAGGCGTGGCTGAAAACGCTGAGAAAATTCAGTCCTACTCACTGAATGAAGGTTTTGGGGACCATGTATGGATCCAGTGTTCAATCTCTCCATCAGTCAAGAAAAAACTACTCTCTCTAGCTAACCACCACCAAAAAGAAGACTCGGCACCTGATTGTACTTTCTTTGGTTATTAGAGACAGTATGTTCCGCACTTGGCCATTTTTCTTGGTCATGTACACAGGGTAACTTGAAAATCAGCACCCTGTAAGTGGGACTCAGAAAAAAAACAGCAATGATGACCACCAACAAGAAGTCTATTTTTATCCCTGTGAGCTACAAGTCTCTATGACTGATGATTTCGCTGATGAGAACTTCTGGTAAAGAGAAGCAGCCTTTATCTAGAGGTGCTCCCGGGGATTTTGGTCTTGTTTACCTCACTGATATGGATACCAGGTACATTTCTATTGAAAAGCAACTATTAACTTGCTATCTGGCTCTTGTCAACATTGAATGCCTAATTCATGGAGACTTTGGGATTTCCAGTCTGACATTCTTATTGTGGGGGTCAACTTGGACTCAACCACTAACAAGCTGTGAAGAGCCCAATAACCTTTATTTGTCAAATAGATACGGTATATTCGATAATGCAGCCACCCTGGCCCCAGTAGCATCTCGGCTTTGCTTGAAAAACTGGCAGGTAATCCTGTGGGAAAAACTATCTCCACTAGTCTACCATTTGAAACAAAATCACTGGCTCAATAGGGCCTTCAGTTCACAAAATTTTCCCCTCAACGAAAAGTTAGCAAACTATAGCCTGCAGGCTGACCACTTGTTTTTTTTTTTTTAAATAAATAAAACAAAACTATGTTTTTCATGATAAAAATAAACAGTGCAAAGAAGCATATGAGGGAACATGCATTTAAAAATATTCTTTTAAAAAAATTTTAACTTTTATTTTACTTTCAGGGGTATATGTGCAGGTTTGTTATAGAGGCAAACTCATGACTTGGGGATTTGATGTACAGATTATTTTGTCACCTGGGTGCTAAGCATAGAACCTGATAGTTAATTTTCCTTTTCCCTGAACATTTTCCTCCTCCCATCCCCCACCTTCTGAGAGGTCCCAGTGTGTGTTCTTCCCCTTTATGTGTCCATGTGTTCTCATTATTTAGCTCCAGTTATAGTGAGAACATGCAATATTTGACTTTCTGTTCCTGCATTAGTTTGCTAAGAATAATTGCCTCCAGTTTCATCCATGCTTCTGCAAAGGACATGATCTGGTACTTTTTTTTATGGCTGCCTAGTATTCCATGGTGTATGTGTAACACATTTTCTTTATCCAGTCCACTGTTGATGGGCATTGTGGCTGATTCCACCTGTTTGCTATTGTGAATAGTGGTGGAATGAACATATGTGTGCATGTGTCTTTATGGTAGAACAATTTATATTCCTTTGGGTATATACCCAGTAGTGGAATTGCTGGGTCAAATGGTAGTCCTGTTTTTAGTTCTTTGAGGAATCACCGCACTGCTTTACACAATGGCTGAACTAATTTACACTCCCACCAACAGTATATAAAGATTCCCTTTGTCTCT